GGAAAGCAAGGTTATATGAAATCGAATTGAAACGTCAGCTCTACTCATATCATTGTGGGAAACTTCAATTACCAGTCCGTCATCTTACTGATTTACTGATAGTTTCGAAACTCTACTTACATACGGAAAATAAAATATCTATCGTTTGTTTATAAGTAGGCTTTCGAGATTACTAGTAGATCAGCTATATGAGATATGTTCACCCTATTTTGTTCTATATGATGAAGGACTGGTAGATAAATTTCCCCAAAATTATATGAGTAGATCTTGCCTAGAGTGGAGTGTAGTCTCATCAGCACTCAAAGCGAGACTCAAAACCTGGCAGTGCAATATATACCATCTCGATACGTTAACCAATTTGTCACATCCGAGAGTCCTTCCTTAATCTCTACCGAATAGAGCGAAGAAATCTCCTTTATATGGTCTCCTGTTACTGTATAAAACTTACTTATGAACGGAAAATAAGTAGTGTCGTCGATTGTAATAACAAATGAAAGTTTGTTTTATCGACAAGTCCATCAAAATGGGATGTGAAAAAGGCCTAGTCTTCGTTTAAATTCACATTTGCCTAGTGACCCAAGGGGCCTCGTGGCAAAGTGGCGCAGTGGTTAACTTGTCAAGATTATGCGCTGTACTACCATGGTTTGAGTCCCACTGGGGTTGCTAATCAGACTGCAATCTGCTCTGAATGAGGATACTTTTGGGAAGCAGGGCTATGAGAAATTTATTAGACTATAAGAACTACTTATATGATAATGGTAAATTTCAACTACCAGTCTTTCATTATCTTAAACAAAATATGGTATACACATCTCATATTTTGCTTCGTTACGTCATGATTATCTCGAGTTTTACCTGAAAACATACAGGTAGATTAAGGGTGCTGAGGCAAAACTGTGGTTCGATGCTTTCGGTTAAAGAACGGTAAAAATATTGCAAAATGTTAAAAAAATGCAGTTATCCCAGAGTGTCATTTAACCTTACGGGAATAGGGATAGACACTCAAGTAGGCAGGTATGGTCAAAATCATAGCGAAAAGTATGTGTCCATACTTCTGAAAGTATGCCTTAAGCTATGGGCCGATTCGCCCCGGCCGTATCCGGCCGAGATTTATTAGATGTCATCGTCCAATTGCCACAATTAATGAATCGTCAAAATCACGGCCGATTAAGCACTTATCTTAGGACCCCAAACGGCCGACAACTGCGATCGTGTGGAAATGCTGGATATGATTTAATCGGTGGCCAGAATGCAGGAAGGCTGGCAATAAAACGAAAGTGTGAGACTGTGGAGATTTATGGTGGTTCAGCTTTGCTGGGTAGGATGGACAAGGGCGAGTAATTAGAAGTCCACAAGTTCGTGGGGAGCCGGCTGTCCGGACGGAGCGGATGGAAATATACGAACACGAGCAAGGGTCACAAGAAGTGGTGCAGTGGCTATCAGACACGATCAGATAGACACAAGTGCTTGAGACCACGTTTGTCACACAGGTCGGCCAAACAGCCCATGGCAACGCCGGCACCAGACGGAGGCCCAGGCGGGTGAGCAGAGGTTCACTTGACGAAACCACTGCCTTCCAGACGGCAAAGAGGGGTCACTAAGCTCTCTGATGCACTTAATGACGTGGTGCCGAGTTGATGAAAACTTTCTGTTCTTGCCAGTCGTTTTCAGGTCAACCTCATAAGTTTCTCTCGACCAATCTGCTGAAATTGGATCTACCACTTTTCTCGCTGTCTGGGAAAAGCTGGCTCGCACTGTAGATTAGAAAATAACTTTTAGTTGGTTCATGAGCGAATGCGTCTGTCCGTCAGTCTATTAGGAAGATTTCATCGGCGTCTAAATTATGCTATCTTACGAAACCCCTCTGCAGATATTCTCACGAAATGACTAAACCTTCGGTAATAAATTCAGTCTAGGGAAATTGTATAATAAAAAATGTTATTGCATCTTGCAGCATTCATTCTTCCTGTTCGAAAGCATTCACCAAACGTTTCTTTGTGCGGCTATAACCTGAGGACAGTAGCGAAGTTTTTGGGTCTCTTGAAGGTAAATGTAAAAAGTGTGGAAGTTACGTATATTTTTAATTTTTCTGTCTTCATTATCAAGGATAGGAGGAATGAGGCGATTCAGTCTCTCGTTATATTGTGCTTACAGATAGTCATTTCAAGCTACTCTTGAGGAATTGATGAGACGACTTGGCCTCTCCTGTAAGCTCCTCCGAGAGATGCCTTCTCTATCGGGCTTGATGCAAGGGGGATTTATAGTCTTTGGAGTAGTCACGAACACGCCAACTCCCATCGGAGCAAAAGCGCCCTTCATACTTGTAGAATGAGAGAGATTTGTCTTTATACTTACTGGTATTGAAGTGAAATGTTTGTCTCCAAATGTACATATCCTGAACTTGATTTCGGCGGCCTCAATTTGTTTATTGTCATTTAATATACCGTGAGCTGACATCAAAGATTGTGAATAATCTGAAAAGCGTTATGGACAATAAAGGAACCATCATAAGAGCTGTATTTATCCTATTTCATTTTATGTGATGAAGGACCACCAGCTGATTTTTACCACCATCATATGAGTAGGCTGTATTAAATTTCATATAGCCTTGCTCCCCAAAGGTATTCTTATCCGGGTGGGATGGACTACCATTTCACACTTTTATGGTCTCATCAGCAGGACTCTAACCCTGTTAGTGTAGCCTATAGTCCCGACACGTTGACCACTACACCACACTGCCACGAGCGCCATTGGGTCACATTGCAGATATGAATTTCCAGGAAAACCAGGCCTTTTCCCATCCCATATTCTTGGTGGGATTTTAGATGAAACAATATTGCATTTGGTATTGCAATCGACTAGACTACTTATTATCCGTTTATCAGTAGGTTTTCGAGACTATCGGCAGATAATATATATATAATGTATTCAGTATTTCTCTAATTAGGTAAGAAAGGGCTGGTAGACGTGGCATGGTGGTTAACGTGTCAAAACTATACGCTGCTCTGCCCGAGTTCGAGTCACGTTGTAGGTGCTGATGAGACCTAAGCGACGCCAAAACTGTAATCCAGACCAGC